TTGAGCTGTTGTTCAGCATCTTAGCTGTAGAGGGCAGTGTCACTGGCCCTCATATGTGGGATCCGAACCGGGGCCTTCTGGCGTCCCAAGCCAGTTCTTAACCATCCTGCGCCACTCGGCCGGCCCGGAAAGCACTTCTGACCTTGTCTTATAAACCTCCTACACGTGACCCTCCATGCTTCCATGCTTGTCCTCCTTCTGTGACTTGATGTAAATGAGCACAGTGACTTTAGGAGCTGTTTAAAATATGATAGAGCTGCATGACGGAAGGAGCCTGGCTCCCTGAATCACCACCTGTCAATTAGAACACCCAGTCTTCACAAGAACAAGAAATAAACTATTGTGTTAAGCCACTGACACTGGGAGTTTATCTGTCACAACTAGCATACCCTAAGATATATATTTCCACATTTTATATTCAAAGCAAGGGCTGAGAAAGTCACATAGGAATACAAACTTTTATCTTTCTGTATCAAGAATTAAGAGTAAAAGAAATAGGCCAGCCTATTCTTTTCTCTCCAGTGATCCCTCAGGCATCTACAGTTAAATCCAGAATTTAAATCCTGCTTTCACCATTTATTAGCCACATGGCTTTGGGCAAGTCAGTTAACTTCTAAGATTCTTTATACTCTCTCAATGAACAATAAAATCACCTACTTCCAGAGTATTTTTGAGAATTTAAATGAGATAATATATTTAGCTTGGGACAAAGAAAATGCTCAGAAAGGGTAGTGTGATAAGATAAAAATTATTAATTTGTAGAAATGTATAGCTATTCCTCAGCCCATAGGATCCTATTCTCTCCCCCCATTTTCTCAAGAGAAAAAGGAGAGAAGATGAACGGGAAATGCAATNTGATATAGTAAATCCTAGTTCTGTGTCAAAGATTAGTAGTGAATGAAGTTAACAGGGCACAGGACAATACATAGCAATGGGGAAAAATACTTTTGAAACATTTTGGGAAAATCTGGTTTTCAAACAATGGCCCCATAAGAGTTAAGGAAGTAAGTGAAACAAAAAAAAATAATAGTTTAATTTTATTCACTTATCATTGCCATTAAAGGTTAATTCATAAAAACATTTTGGCTATTCTAACATCCTTTGCCTCACATCACCTCTTACAAATAATACTCACCACATAGCAGAAATATTAGAAGTTATACTGCAAATGGAGCACATTAAGCATTTTTTAAACCTTTAAAATATGGCTTATGAACAATTTTACATGGGTTACCTATTAATATGTTACATATTAACAGATCTATGATACCATTATGGACAATCAGATTTCCTTGATCTTAAAGATAGAGTTGGCATTTTTGTCAAGAACGCATTTCAAATCTACTAGGGGAGTTTCTATACTTTTTCATAAAGTATATCTTAAGCATATCATTTTTAAATCAAACCAGAAACTAGATCCAGCTTTTTTTTTTGTACGCATCATGTAAACTCTTTGCTATTAAGTATCTATGTAGCTACTCTTAAATAAGAAAAGAAAAGCAGATTCTTATTCTGGATATATATCAAAACCTAGATTACCTTTGTATAGTAATATTTATATGAAAAATTTCACAAGAATATGTTAAATGTTGGCAACACTGACAGCACTCAGTGATTATACATCCTAGCTTTTACAGAATTTCTGAGTTCACTAGAATCAAGTTCTATCGAGAAGTTGTTTCATTCATCAGTGTATATTCAGCACTTGATACAGCATGGCACAGAATGGATTTTCAATAAATATTTCAATGGCTGAACAAAACTTTTTAATGGTAAGTGAAAAAAACATACAAATCTGAATAAATGGCATGAGAATACCAATGGTCTCATGATGCAGCAATAGGTGCTTCTGGTAAAAATTCTAAGATAATGTGTTAAGTAGATCAAGAATTAGATAAAAATAATTTCCTCCCCAAATATAGGAACTCTCATAGTGGTGTGTGTGTGGAGGGCAAGCCATAACATTTTATCCTCCACAGCTAATGTGTGAAACTTGGAATATGAGCTAGGTGAAAACTACCATGATATTAAAAGTAGGGCAATTTCACAACTAATGTGTTTTGCATATTTATTAAAGAACCCATTTTCTTTCAGACAATACTTCTAATGCTAGGTGAAAATATTTTTATAGGTTTGACCAAACAATATGTCTAATCAGTTCATCCTTTTAGTCTTTGAATCCATGTTAGAGTTTTAAATATGGAAGAAATCTGTTAGCCTCAAATCATTTTTAAAAAAATAGTCTATGACCTAAAATAGCTATTGGATAATTAGTGTATTTGTAACAGCATCATGACTTTCTCCAGTTATATGTATTTCACCCAGCAATGTCAAAACTAACCTTAAAGTCAATTAAATGAAAACTATGATTTCAAAAATGATTTTAAACTTTTTAAATTAATAGTCATAACAATACCATTGTGTTCTGAAATTAGAAAATTCTTAGCATATATAAAAACACATTTACCTACTTCAGTTAGGTCAATGTCAGGATTTATCAAAATTCTCCATCAACATTTTTTAAAAATCTTGATTTTTAGGTGCTATAAAAACTATATACTAATCAAATGATATGCGTTTGTTCTGACCAATTCCACAAAGTTTGGAGGAAAGGGAAGGAAAAAAAGTTAGATTTCAAATCCTAAACATTTAATCCTTTATTTGAACCTACCTCTCTAAATTTAAAAAGATATCAGCACTCTTGGATATCAATCATTAATATAGAAATTTCCCTGGTATCAATTCTAAACAGTTTAGTCCATCCATTTTCTTACACAGTGAACATCTTTTCCATCAGAATCCAACAGAAGAATAATGCAAATCTCACTTTGTTAGTCACCTTTGAGCCCAAGGGCAACCAGTCTCAACAATAACCAAAAACTGTAGCTTTATGACCGGTAGTCTGTTTCTGCAGTAAAAGTATTTTTTCAGTAATCAAACTTTGTCATCTGAGGAAATCCTTCACTGTTCTAGAAGCACAGTTCGAAGCTCATCTTCTTTGTTGATCATCATTGAGGCAATTGCTCCATCATTAAACTCAAAAGAAGTTCCTCCATCCACAACCATACAGGCATCCCAACAACGAGAGCGAACACAAACCCTAAGCAGAAAGCAACATTTCATTAAATATTGAGTTTTCTTAACCCTAAATAATATTTTCTTTAAAAACCCTAATTTTTATCTAAACTGGTAGATCGTTGGGCCTTGATTTTAAAAATCAAGTTCCCTTTTGGTATGAGAGAATTAGTAACTATGTAAATATATGGGTACATTATCAAAATCTCAAAATTTAGATGTTCAGGATATCTCCATTCACCCAAACATCTGAGTGAACAAGTTCAGACTTGATGGAACTCATAGTCATAGGCTTTCTTCATCAGACTGAATGTTGAGTTATTGCCATTACAAGTATTTTAAGAATTGAGCACGAATGTAACTATTTTCATGTAAAACTTTTAAACTTAAGTAAAACACACAAAAGAGGCACACATTATTAGGGTACAGCTCGACAAACACACTTGTGTAATCATCCCCCAAATCAGGAATCACGATTTACCCAGTTCCCAGGAAGCTCCCTCACTGCCCTCACTGCCATCCCCCAGTCACTACCCCGGCCCCTCCTTCCCAAGCATATCCACTGTCCTAATTTCAGTCACTATGGAAGTAATAGCTTCATCTGTTCTTGAACTTTATATAAATGGAAGAATATGTATGCTTGTGTCTGGCTTCTTTTGCTCATTAGTACGTTGGTGAAATTGATCCTTGTTATTACAAGTAGTAGTATTGTATTCATTTTCATTGCTGTATGACAACACTTCCATTGTATAAAAATAGTGAAATTTACGTGTCTTTTCTACTATTCATGGACATTTGTGTTTTTGCCTATTTGGTAGCACTGCTGCTGTAAATATCATTGAGTGTGTCTGTTGGTATTCACATTCTGAAATATACCTAAGAGTGGAATTACTGGATTACTACATATGCTATATACAGCTTTAGTAAACAATTTTCCAAACTATTCCTAACAGTAGTGTATAAAGTGCCACTTGCTCCACCATAACAACAACTAGTATTTTAGCCACTCTGGTGGGTGTGTATGGTATAGTATTATATAGTTTTAATTTGCATTTCCAGATGAACAATATGGTAAAGGACACTTTTTATATGCTTATCAGCCATTTGGCTATCCTCTTTTGTGAAGTGCCTGTCC